GTATGCTAATTTTAATTTTAATTTTAATATCAATTTTCATTTTTTTATACTTTAAAAAAATATGTGTGAATGTTCTTTGATGTGAATAAAAGAATAAAGATGGAAGTGTATTTATTATATTGTTTAGAAAATTATTTTAAAATTATAGAATATTGACGCAATCTTCAGATTGGCGCGCAATTATAATATGATCGTTAAAACGGGCAGCGCAATCTGCGCCGATCCGCAATAAGCGTGGAACACATGCACACACACATACTAACAGATAGACAGATAGACAGATAGACACACACACACACACACACACACACACACACACACACACACTTTTTCTGTATCCATATCATCTCCTTGGGCCTGTGGTTTCCTTATATTATGCAAAAGATATGTTTCGATTACCCTGTGGGGAAGTATGTTATTAATCGACTACATGTCTGCCAGCTGAAAATCTGAAACCCACCCAACCACAATAGCCCCTCGCAGGCCACCCTCCTCAACAATCTATATTGTGCAGACATAGGGGGAAAACATTTAGCTAACAGTCATACAATCAATATTGATGGATACATTGTTAGGGACGACAAAGTACTTTTGAAAAAATACAAAAATATCATTTTAATACTTACAGTGTGGTTTCTTGGCCTCTACTTTCTAAGACATATGAGTGCCTGACGTATAATAAGGTTACCCTTCACCCCTCTCCCCCCCCCTTCCTCCGCCAAAAACGAACACCCCAAAAGCTAGTGCGCTTGGTGTCACTAGCTCAAGAAAGATTTTATGTTTGAACATGTTATATCTAAATAGAGCATACACATGGGCTCCTGTTGTATGTCCATTCCTAACTTCTTCAATTTCCTTTTGAACCCGTCACCATAAGACACATTGATTATTAAATATGATTTAACCTCCGCAGAAAAAAAATTATTTCAATGCAGAAAAAGCAACCCTGGCATGTCTGAAAATGGTCTGTTAACCGGCAGTGGGTCCAAGGGTAAGGTGTCAGAAATGGATCCTGTCCAGAGTGTACTGATGTTGCCCTATACCGAGGTGTAAACGATAGTTTGTCAAACAGCCGAATAAACTCAGCCTGCCTTCCCCCCTCTCCCCTCCATCTTCCCCCCCCCCAATCCCCATCCCACACCCCCTCTTCAGGTTATGCTCCACCTTTGTCATGTTAACATATTTTGAAGCAAATAGAAAGAAAATGAACAGTCTAAAAATACATATTATGCTAGAGTGGAAACCAGCATCGTTACCCGTTTGAAAAGAATGGCGTTTGATGTATTTTAACTTATTATGAAGGAATAAGTACAGCTGCAAATAAAAAGTGGTCCAATACAATGAATATGACTTAGAACACAACAACGACCAAGTATTAATGGTTTCGAACAGATAATACCACTCCCATTGCAAAGAATATAGCGGAATAATATACTGGAAGAAATGAGAGTAGCAATATGTAAACGAAGACAAGCATTCAATTCGTAGTGTGTATCACTTGACTGCGTCACGCACCATTTTTTTTTTCAATATAAGTAATAAATATTTTAAAAACCAAATTGGTACATGAACATGTAAAAATAAAGAGCAAAGTAAATTATCTTTAATCAACTTTACATATAAACAAATGAGTAACGGCAACAACAAAGGTGTATTATCCACAAAACGAAATGTAACAAATGCACACAGGAAGTAGCACAAATCACGCACTCCAGAGTCCGCTCCGATTCAATCGGCCGATTAGTTTGTCCCTGTCCTTGCACTTGCGGCTGCCCCAGACCCGAACAGAGCGGCAGTCCGGGGGTTCCGTCTCGTCTCGGCTTTTGTCCGCCTCCAGCTTTTCCTCCAGACCTGGAATGATCTGGACCATATCCTAGAGTAAGAGAAGGGGAGGGTAAGGCGTTGATGATTTGGGGTAAAATAAAAATGGTAAAATGGTATATGTTTAACGTCCCTATCAACGCTATTAGGTTATTTAAGAGACGAACTTTTTTTAGTTTAACGTCCTTCTCAGGAAAAACCAAGGCAAATATGAAATTCACACGAATATGGGACCGGTAACCATAGGCAGCTACCGTCTCCTCTTTTGGTAGAGGGGGCGGAGATGGAAAAAAGACATCTCTACACCGGCGCTTCACAGTCAACGAAGCGTTGTATCTAATGCCCAGTGCATACTTGCCAATCAAATTCGATCGAAATAAGTGGGGCCCAGCCAAATTTTCCCCTCAGACGAGCAAGAGCTACCATTTCGGCACAAACACGTTTGATTATGAAGTTCACAACCAAATTTAGTCGGATTCAGTCGAATTATGCCAAAGTGATAGCTTTTGCCTCTCCATGGAGAAGCATTGGCTGGGCCAGACTCAGTCAAACGGATTCAGTTGTCTGTGTGCACTCCGTATTAGAGTCGTAAAACCCCGGATTGGCAGTGAAGGATTTCAGAATCCAAAAAGCAGAAGATCTATTCTATTCTGAGCTGTCCTCAGGAAGCGTTACGTTG